GGGGGTGGTGGGGGGGGGGGGGAAGAGAGAATTTATGCGGTGTTTGTGAGTGTATGATATCTGATCAGTTTTAGTGGGAATAGGGTCGGGGTCCGGATCAGGTTCGGGGTGTGAATCAGTGGGGTAGGAGAGAGGGTTTGCGGCGATAGGTTTATTTGATTGAGGGTTTTGGTTTTTGTCTTTAAGTCTGGTATCATATCTTTTAAGATTATTTGTAGTGTGTAGAGAATTTGTTTTATTAGCGAGATAATTTTTTTTATCCGCCGTGTTAACGTTAGTATTAAGATAATTTGAGTGGTTGTTTCTGGTTACGGCTTCCGCGTATGTTTTTGGGAGAGCGGAAGAAAGGAATTCGCCCAAGGTAGGGAGGGGGACCCCGTGCGGGGGGTATGGGAGAAGTAATGTCTCTTCTAAGGGTGGTTGTTGAGATTTTGGATTCTCAATCATTGCTATGGCTTCTGAGTGTGATATGTTGTAATAATAAGTTTTTTAGTTTTCTTTGTTTTTTAAATATGGGACATGAGATGGAAGATGTTTCGTGCTCGGCAACAGAGTCCGACAAGTTGTACATCTTACAGTTAATGCATGAGGGTTTTTCTGCCGGGCATGGCTCGTTATTGTTATTAGAATTATTATCGCCGTGTGAAGAAGTGAGCTTACCACAGCGCTGGCAAACCGTATTCTTATCCGGAGTCCGGCAGATCTTTGCCACGTGTCCGAATCTTTGGCACTTCTGACATCTTCTAACTTTTTCAACAAAGGGAATCAAGTGGAGTCTTTCCCATATAGATAATGCTTGGAGGAACTGTTGTTGTTCTGAAACGGATAACGTATGAATCAGACTCTATATACTTAATGACATGAGTATTATCTTTATTTTGGACACGACTAGATTTTTTAAGCCTTGTGGCTTCAAAAGGGGATTGCCAAAGGATATTCCAGTCAGGAGGCGGACGCAAATACTTTATAATGTCCTCCGGAGAGTCATCATCATCCACTCCCCTGACGATAAATTGTCTGATAACCTTATAGTTGGGTATCCAAGCTTCATTAGGAAAGATAGTGCTAGACTTTTCGTTAAAAACGTCACAAAATTTATTTGCTGAGTTGCAATTGGTAAAAGTAACTGTGAACTTGTTTCTCCCAATTGTTTTCAGGTCGTAAGCAGTTTGAAAGTTGTCAATATATCTAGTAATGCGTTTGCCAAACGCTATAATACCATGAGAACCTGTAGTTGATCTTAGACTCAAGTTGACAATATTATAATCTGATTTATCAGTACCTGTGTTAACGTTGTTATTATTTGTTTCTTTGGCCTCAGAAATCCATACCTGTGTAACGGAAGGAAGTCTGTGGATGATTTTTTCAATGTGTACAGTATACGGAGGTTTAATATTGAAACCGTATTTGTTTTGAAGATGGGGATCTTGTTTACTGGAAGGTTCCAAGGATGACCTTTTAGGGGGAAGAGGACTTCTCAATGTCGATGCTAAATTCCTCTTGCGACTGCGATAAATTATGTCGCGTACTTGGTCAGCAACGTCTTCGTTGCTATTTTTCCTCGTGGAAAGAGGCGAGTCCTGGGTGGTAACGTCGGGGGGATCGTCTAATGTGACCTCCATTATTATAATATGAGAGAGGCGCTAGTCTGGCCGAAAGGCCGATGAAACCAAGAAACCGAGTCACACGTGAAACGGCCGGCAGAGACAATTCGTGTGCGACGAAATAATCCGCCGAAACCGATTACGAACTCACAGACTCACTCAATGATGATGATGAAGTCGCTCAGGTATTATCGAAAACGATGCTCACTCACCGAGAGAACAAACGGAAGTTATGAGCGGAGGTCTGTACACGGCCCTGAAAAACGTCAAAAAAGTGCATGCTCAAGATGGCTACTACAGTTTGCGATTATAAGTCTATCCCACAGACTTCTATATATGAGTATGTTTCCATCGAGGGTTCGAATCGGGTCAAAGTTGGGTCAGAGTAGGGTCAGAGTCGGGTTGGCTTGCCTGTTTCCATCGGATCAGAGTTGAGCAGAGTTACAGCTCCATAAAGTTAGCCGGTCAACATCCAC